ATATATATTCACTTACTAGGTATGAGACACATATATATATTACATATGTTTATTTAAAAGAAAAAACTAAATATAAAATTCTAAACATTTGAGAAATTTGAATTTATAAGAAAAATGAGAAAAATATTGAATTATAAAAATTAAACTGTTTTTTTTCTCTAAATTTAAACAAATAATTTAGATAAATAAATAAAGAAAATTAATGAAGTTTTAATTTAGTAATTTTGAAATTAAAAGGAAAGTTCATTAAAAAAATTAATATGCATTTGTTATTGTATTTAAATACTATGTGGAATTAATAAAATAGAAAAACCATAAAATGACATGTGGAATAAAAATTAAATCAAATAACCACAAAATGACATTTAGCAAATTGAATGAAAGTGTGAAAAATGGCAAAAAAACCTTCATTTATTTGAATAGATGAACAGAACATCTCTCGTCGCATTGGTTGTCACACCCCGACCAACGGTGGAAACGTCGAGGTTGAGCCTAAACATTTGGATCATAGTCAACAACATATATTAAATTATAACATAATTTATACGACATTACATTCTTCCGAAATCTGAATACGACGAAATACACTTTTTAATAAATCCATAAGCGTTAAACGCGGAATACAATTTCCTACAACATAAAATAGACAAAAGGCTACTATAGAGTCGACTATTTATTTCCAACATCAAATCCTTCGTCCTCACATTGGGTGAGAGTTCTTCCGGTCACTTTGAATACCTAGAGATATATACATTTTGAAAATACGTCAACAATAATGTTGGTGAGTTTTATATATTTTCTTTTGACTCCGAGTGTTTCAATAATTCAAAATATTTTTCAATGACCGGTAAATTATAACGCATATTATTACTACTCAAATAATTTTAACGACAAGGACTAGTTATTCTCGTGACGATTTTATTATTTTGACCCCGTTCGCTTACGGAGAATTATGTCGTAAAGAGAGGTAGTTAACAACCTAAACAATCTTAGACATTCGACCCAAATTTTGGAGAATTGACTCATCCTAAACATATACTTCTCCGAATATAAATCTTCATTCTAACAATTAGCATATAACCGACACTATCGAGGTTCCATAATCCACACAGACACAACAAAAAGGGAGGAATCGAGACGAAATAGATCAACCCGCAGACGAATTTGCCTCGTCAGACGAAGTTATAGCTAGCAACCACAGACGGGGAAAAAGACCAACCTGCATAAATCATTCCTTACGAAATAGATCTACACCAACATTCTTTATTATAAATCTATGACGTGTACATAGACCTACAGTATAAGACCCCTCATGGATTAACGGTTATAGAGCTAGGTTTCAATTCTAGGATTTTGATCCTAATGAAAGAAAAACACCCCATCTTAAAACTCTCTCACCCCTTTTGATAATTCCTCACACAAATACACACAGGATAAAAATCCATAAATTCCATGACAACAATTCTTCGGTCCATAAATCCGTCGCTTTCGATGGTCACCAACGTAAATTTTAAATTATTAAGATTTTTAAGGCTTAGTGAATTTAGTTAAATATTGAATTTAACTTAGCGTTCAAATAATGTGACGATAATAACTCGAGTAGTTTCATACTACAATCTGATAGGGAGGACGTTCCATTCGCGTAGTCGAATAACTCATATATGTCGGTATTATGTCGGTTGACTGTTTGTCGCCTTAATCCATTATTATTGTATTTTTAACTTTTAGTTATTGTTGAAAATATATTGTTTTCATCCGTAAGTAAACTTAGTCTTAAAAATACATACACATTATTTATCGACGAGATTTCGTATTATACCATAGTATATACATACTTGTGGGTTATTTTCATACTCTATATACGAGTTTATAATTCGTTTGTATATTTTTATTTTATCATTTCGTTTAACTCTTTCATATTAAGACTTTATGACAATTAAGCTTAATACCCTAATATATACAAGTCCAAAGAACCTCATACCCACAGAAAGGTGACGAGATGCCTTACGCTTCTAGTAACTCGTCGCAACCCCGAGACTTCCTCATGCCCGGGTTGCAGCCCACGAACCCTAACCACAGAAGACCCGAAACAAGATGTTACAATTCTCCCCCACTTGAATTAGATTTCGCCCTCGAAATCGCTCCTTATCAACACAAAGATCGAACCCAAAACCCAAGAAGCACCACCGAAAGGACCTCATATCATTCAACAATCTCCTCCAAGAACACCTGAACCCAACAGGAACTCCCGACCCCAAAGAAGGACAAACCCTTCTGCCATAGCGATAGAACTTGAAACCTCTAGTGGTCTGTCTCCCTGCCAAACCACCCTCGCAAAATATCATCATGCTAACGCTTATCGAAAAACAGACTCTAATAACACTCTATCAACTCTGATTCTCTAATCGATCCCGGTCGAACTCAAGAGGAACGGAAAGGTCATAACTCACTAAGGACCCGCCGCCTGAGCAGCTATCGGAACTCTTCTGAAGGAAATGATCCTCAAAACTCTGTCCTCAGGCACAAGAAAATGGTCAAGTCAGCTCGAAACGATCCTCTGGCACTCTTATTCATAAGCCCCAGCTTCTCTCCATTTTCCCTTCCAACACTGAGTACCAGGTCGACTCTGACCCAATAGTTGAACTTCCAAAGGTTACCCACTGCACGCCTAATAAAACGTCTTACCGGCTTTCACTTCGCAATAACTATCTCGGATCATTGTGACACACAAGTCACGAAGTTCGCTTTACCCCAAGCGAATACTACAACCCCATCTGAAATCGTCCCACTTCCGACCACCGCCGTCTAGCACCTACTGGTTCCATGCGTCTCACGGTTCTTCTCATACCAACAAAAACCGACCCACTCTGGTCTAAGATATCAGATGGAGATCAATACCCCCATCAAAATGAAACCCATCCACAAATCCAAAACCTCATCTCGCCTACTCAATACACGAAGGGATCCATACTCAAGCTCGAGAGTCTGATTCAACAGCAGAATTGGAGCCACTCATTTCCAATCTGGTACTCAACTCATGACCCAAAATTCACGGATTTATGCACACACCATCTCTCTAATTCCTTCCGATTACGATAATCCCTCCTCATTCCAGGGACACAACGATTCCCAACCGACACGGAGACCCCCGTCTCGCCCCTGGTTCGGAAACCAGGCTTCCGAAGACTCAAGTGGTAAGGATACCCCAGCCTAAGAACTCCTCTGCGTCATACTCTGAATAGTGAATACTACAGCCCTCCGATGAACAGTAATCTCTCTCATCAACTACTGAGTGCTACGGTTCCCCTGTAGTCTTAAGGCGCTCCTTTATTGACTCATGAATGCTACGGCTCCCCGCAGACTTATGACACCCTCTCACTAACTCGTGAATGCTACGGCTCCCCGCAGTATCACAACACTCTCTCGCTATCCAGTGAATAATACGACTCCCCGCAGTACCACGACACTCCCTCACTGCCTAGTGAGTACTACGGCTCCCCGCAGTATTACAGCACTCCCCCGCTATCCAGCGAATACTACGACTCCCCGCAGTATCACGATA